CACCCCAAAAAAAAAAACCCCCCCAAAAAAAAAAAAAAAAAAAAAAAAAACACTGAACGCTCAGCCAATAGCACTCGCCCCCATGCCTGAAGAAGCTGATCTCACTCATGTATTTTCTCTGGAAGGCACATCCCAGGCCACCTGGGGTGGGGGACACTAGCCAGCACTTCAGCACCATGAGAGTGCAGGTGGGTGCATTAAAAAAAAAGCCAGCAGAGTGACCAAGGAAAAGCATAATAATGCAAGAAACATGACAGATGCAGACTATGAAAATGACTTCATGCTTTTTTGTTTGTTCGTTTGTTTGTTTTGGAGAGGTTTTCGTTATAGGGTGCGTGCACTCACCAGAAAGACAGAGAGAGACAGACAGAAAGCGAGAAATCACCCCCCAGGGGGATGGACATGGCACAATCCCTTCTCCTCTATTTTCCTCTTAGGATCTTGGACACGCTCGCAGGCACACACGTCCAGCATGAGTTTAAGCCACCGGGTCCAGGACTCGAACGGCAGTCAACTACATGGGAGTCCAGTGACATAGCCATTGCGCCAACTGCTGGTTCCAAAATGACTTCATGGTTTAAGAGCTGCAACAAGAAGGCACATTCTGGGCTCTGAGGGAGATGGGAGCAGGTGCGCAGCACACAGAGCCGTGTGTGCATTATAGCCATCTGGACTGTGATGGGGGCAGAATTAGGTCCACAGCATAAAGAGCTGCGTGTGTGTGAAAACCCTTCCTATGTAACCTCAGGGAAAATATGAATTTCCCATTATTTGCTTCTTCTCCATTAAGTTTTTAACTTCTTGAATCTTTTTTTTTTTTGGAGAGGTTTTTGCTATAGGGTGCATGCGCTCGCCAGAAAGACAGAGACAGAGAGACAGAAAGTGAGAAATCACCCCCCAGGGGGGATGGCCATGCCGCAATCCCTTCTCCTCCATTCTCCTCTTGGGATCTTGGGCACGCACGCACACACGCCCAGCGTGAGTTTAAGCCACCAGGGCTGGGACTCGAACTGTGGTCAACTACATGGGAGTCCAGCGACATAGCCATTATGCCAACTGTTGGTCCCAATTTCTTGAATCTTTATTAGTATGTTTTTATAAAAATATTCACACCCACGTAGTCTGGTGTAGGTCTAAAAAAAAAAAACATAAAAATGGCTTCCAAAAGAGCTTTGGTGATCCTGGCTAAAGGAGCGGAGGAAATGGAGACAGCCATCCTGTAGACGTCATGAGACGAGCTGGGATTAAGGTCACTGTTGCCAGCCTGGCTGGAAAAGACCCAGTGCAGTGTAGTCATGATGTCATATGTCCTGCTGCCAGTCTCGAAGATGCAAAAAAAGAGGGACCATATGACGTGGTGGTTTTACCAGGAGGTAACCTGGGTGCACAGAATTTATCGCATCCGCTCCCATGAAAGAGACCCTGAAGGAGCAGGAGAAGCGGAAGGGCCCCGTAGCCGCCCTCTGTGCAGGGCCTGCTGCCCTGTGGCTCCTGAAATAGGCTCCAGAAGCAAAGTTACAACACACCCACGTGCTAAAGACAAAAAGAATGGAAGTCATTACAGCTACTCTGAGAATCGAGTGGAAAAGGATAGTCTGATTCTTACAAGCCATGGTCCTGGGACCAGCTTCGAATTTGCTCTCGCGGTTGTTGTGCTGAGCGGCAAGGAGGTGGCCGACCAAGTGAAGGCTCCACCTGTTCTTAAAGATTAGAGCAGGAGAATGTGCCCGTGACTTAGAGGAACAGACCGTTTGTGATCCATTCTCACCGTGTTCACATTAAACACGTGGCTGGCTAATGTGCCCGTAAGTCGTCATCGCTGCCTGTGTAGTTGTGAAGTCACAACTGCACACGGTCGCTCAGCCGACGCACTGTGTCTGTACATTTCTGAACCTTGTTTGCAGAATAAACAGGGCATTAAGCAAAAAAAGGAAAAAGAACATTCACATAAATAAATTGTATCGTCAGTATTTTATACATTCTGCGTTGTATGATGCCTTGACAAGACCTTCAGAGCTGACCAATTCTTTCTTTCTTTCTTTCTTTCTTTCTTTTTTTTTTTTGAGAGTTTTTTTGACATAGGGGATGTGAGTTCACAGAGTGAGACAAAAGGCAGGAAATCACCCCCCAGGGGAGATGGCCACACCGCAATCCCTTCTCCTCCAGTCTCCTCTCGGGCTCTTGGGCACGCAAGCACATGCACCCAGTGTGAGTTTCAAGCCGGCGGGTCCGGGACTCGAACCACAGTCGGCTATGCGAGAGTCCAGCACTGTAACCATTATACCATCTGCTGGTCCCCCAACCCAAAGAGCTCTGAAGAGAGGAGCGGTGCTCTGAGAGGCGCCTTGAGTGGCAGCTCGAAAGTGTGAGTTATAGTAGGCCCAAACTGAAAGG